TGTGCAGGGGGGTTGGACTAGATGACCTCTAGAGGTCCCTTCCAACCTTAAGCATTCTATGATTCTATGAACTCCTATAGCTAGCTATGTTCAGGGACTGATTCATTTAAAAGCTGAAAGATTGACTTGAAAATGGAAATTTTATTTTTAAGTAAGAGACAGAAGAGATCTATTAGTTCTGAAGTATTTGAGTTAATCGTGGCAAAGAACAAATCAGTTTAATTCATTATCTGTCTTCTGCTCAGAAAGTCCATTTTTTAAGAGACAAATCTGAGTTTACTTTCACAGCACACACAATGCTTTTTAAGTAGTTTTATCAAAACAACAAAAGTGAAATCCTGTTGTTTTGGACTTAATTACACGCTACTCAGCTCTTAAACCACACACAGGAAAAAACATGAGACATTGTTCTACAATATTGATATACAAAATATACTGTATATATATTATATATGTACATATTATACACATAGGCATTTAGACCCTATATAATTTTAAATTCCATGAAAGATTTGTTTCTTCTGAGTAATAATATCAGAGTACAGGATATACTAATTTACGTTCACCAAATAAGAATTTTCAACAGAACACTTTATAAACTAATGCAGTAGATACAAAACAAGATGAGAATTGATTATTTAGCATGATGGTTTCTGCTTAGTGACTCAAAGCTCACTTTGTTTACAGCGCTCTACCCTATCTGTAACCACAGAATTCTTCTGTTGATAAGATTACTTGGCAGAAGACAGGCAAGACTAACCACATCTATCACCCAAGAAAGCAGAGACAAGGAAGAAACTAGACAAAGCTATCTTTACTGGCTTGTGAATGAGACAAAATGAATTACAAGCAGAAAAGGTACCTTTAGAACATGAAGTCTGGTAAAAGATAATGCTGGTGGCCAATTTACATTTCCTGTTAAATACTGCCATATTGAATACCAGTTTCTTGCCTAAAATCCTCAAAAAGGATCAAAAACTTCCCTCTGGGTAGAGTTAAGCTTTCCACCAGCAGGACAACAGCTTTGTTTGTATGCCGGCAAGAATCTCTTTAGACGGTATTTGTTTGTACCAGACAAAAAGAGGAGTGTGCTACAAGACCAAACATATGTTTTTTGTCTCAGGCTTCTGAATTTTCTTGCTGCTTATTGTGGAAGAAAAAGAAGTTGGCGGTCATTTTTTCAGAATCTGTACAGCTATTTCTTAGATACACTTGCTTGCACTCAAAACACAGCAGGAGACTCCTTTCCTCAAAGAAATCCTTTTTGCCTTCTCGACAGATGTTAAACACCTTTGGGTGACAAAAGCATTTGATCTTCCTGTGCCATACAGTAAACTTCATCCAAAGGCGAGTTACTAAGATGTGCCAATATCCCTACACAAAGATGAGCCCAAGACTCTTAAGACCTATCATAGCCCAAGAAGGGGCCTTAACTCCCTGACAGGGCTGTGAGCACCTTTTAGCTGCCCTTCAGCAAACCTCAGTGCACACAGCTGAAGATATCAAGACTGAGTGAATCTGAAAGATCTCCTTCTACTTCTTTTTGCGCTTTCCCAAGCAGTTTATCTTATCTGCCAGGAACAGAGCGTCTCTTTTGGTATATTTAGACAACAGCCATGCAGAAAATCCACAAGAGAAGGGGGTAGGTTTCCTCCATAAACTCCTGGTGCAACAATTAAATGGATGGCCACTGCTATTATTATAGCAAGAGACAATTATTTACCAAGGGAGCACACAAGCACATAAAGCAACTTGGGCTGAAGGTGGAAGAAAGCTCAAGAGTGTTACACAAAAGTGTTAGCAATGTTTTATGGGGGACAGCTACTCATTTGAAAGCTGGGCTGCTGCTGCTTTTCAAAGCTTCGGACAGCAGGACTTTCTCTTATTATATTCTCTTTGTTCCACTAACCCAAACACACTTGCTACTGCTTAAGTCTCATTCTTTATTTTAGTACTTAAGGTAATTCACGATTAAATTCTCTAGAGATGACAGAGCAGAAATCAAACCTTCACTGTGCATTTGTAAATAAATATATTTTTAAAAAAGTTAATTTTACCTTCAAGCGTTTGTGAAACGTGGCTGCTGATGCTGCTTGTTTTGGTAAAATTTGATTCCTAGTATAACTAGTTACCCTCCTGCTAAATTAAGCAGTAGTTACAGAATAAAGGACTATTTTTTATTTAATATCACATCTAGACACGCTCCCAATTTTTAGGTAGGATAGTGGTATCAAGACCATCAGAGGACAAAGTTGCTTTCACTGAATTGTATAGAACAGGTCCAAGATAAGCTGAAGTTAGCAGCTGCTCTTAAACGATGCAAAGTATGAAGTTATTTGTGTTCAAATCATATCATAACTTCCCTTCTTTAATCTAACAGTAGAGTAATTATTAAGCAATATCCCACCACTTTCAAAAAAAGAGTTAACAGTTTCCGTATTTTCTTTCTTCTTGGATAAAAGCTGTCAGGCCTTACCTTTAGCTGCTGTTTTCCCCATGGTAACACTTCTGTGATCTTCCCTCACAATAAAAAGGCTGAAGTTGAAAGACCAGTTAATTCTTCCTTTCAGCACAGCAGTTTCCTGTGGAGTAGTAATACAACATGTTAGGGGAGGAGGGCTGGTGTGATTTGGGGTTTGGGATTTTTTTTGGAAATGAGGATTTTTTTTTGTATAGGCTATAATTATCTTTCAGGTTTAACACAGGAAAAGTTTAACAAGCTACTTCTAGAGGAACACTGTGTAAACAATGGGTATATCCATGCGACAAGGGTTCAAAGAAAGCAAAATTTTATTTTGTTGTTTAGACTGTTCATTGTTTAGTGGTTTGCATTTTCCGTGAGTTACTAATACATAGAAAGATACAAAACCCTCCCTCCCTCCCTCCAAGAAAGCCAATTACAGAAAAATGTAAGACAGACCCTCTTGTATCACATACACACGTAGTTTAACAATCACCACTGCAAACACCTCTGGATAAAGCCCAATGTATTTTGGAACTACAACAGAAGGGGGATCAGTAGCACTCATGTACGAAACCTACACAGAGGTGTGATTGTTCACTTGGACCACTTGTCATTGCAGCTCATAAGACAGTAAGCAGAATCTGCTAGGGGTACATTGACTTCACACAGAAGCAGCGATCCACATGCTGTTAGTCTTTATAAAACACAAGTGCCAACTTAGTTAAACCACTATAAAACACCAAAAGTAAGTTTTTCCCCTCCTCTTGCTTCTGTGTTTTTCCACTCCAGCATCTATTTTTTCAAATTTTGACTTCCTTTTTTTTTTTTTCCTCAAATTGTTCAGCTGAAATCAAACTCACTTGAAACTACTAAGCCTGGAAGTAACAAAACCATCCAGTTTACTGCCCTTTTCAATCTACTACTTAAGTAATAAAGAGTAAAAATATATTAAAAGTTCTGAAGTATAATTTTGACCAATTCTTTTCAAGGAATTCCCATGAGGTTAAAGTTAATATCAATCAAAAGTTCAAGATTGTCTTAAATATGTGCACATTTTTCCAAAATTAGGTCTGGTTAGAGGCAACATTTTTAGAAGCCACACTTGACAATGTTACACAAAAGGAATAGTACCTGAAAAGCAAGGAATTGATTTGGAATCTCTTGAATCTTATAACTACATTTAAAAAAAACACACACACACACACACACATATACAGCATATAACAAAAGAGCTGCAGTACAAAAGAGTATTTTTCTTAAACTGGGACATTTCTGCAAAATTTAGTTCAACCTGTACACTATAATGATGGATTGCATGATGAAAACTACTTATACAGTGGAAGTCCCATGGCTAAAATTATTTAAATATGGTTTTGAAAATACCAATAAAAAATTATTTTAGTGTGAGTACTGTGTGTGAACATGCTGCACAGTTATTCCGAAAACTCAAAAGACTGAAGCTTGAAAGCAGTTATAAATAAAATTGAATACTAACATAAAGGAAGCAGTTTTTGCTACACAATAGCATTCACATAAGTGATCAGCAGGGTTAAGAACAGAAATCCTCTTAAGCCATGAAATAAATTTGAAATACTTGATACTTTGTAGACTCCCCCGAAAATTCAAAGCTTTTTCTCTCCAAGTAATAAATTGTGAAAGGTGATGCCGAGTCAAAGTAGCTGTTTTTACAGATTACTTTAAAACAGCGCATGGTTTTTATCTTTTTGTTCCAAGTACCAGATTGCACTTGGTGCAGTCATAAAGATTCCAACCCTGCAGTGATAGTCATCAAGTTTAGCACAACTGGAACGTCTGTCAGAACATAAAAAGGATTCCAGCATTTCATTAGCTTGTGTTGTACCAGATAGGCTATTTTACAGCATGCCCACAAGCCTGTTAAAAATATAAGACAATTGAAAGGTCTGAGAGTGCCATTTAAAATAGGGCAAATTCTACAGCACAAATACAATATATTTCTATTTAGAAGAGGTGCTCCCGAAAACCTGCTCGCACCTACCGTAGTCAATTCAGAGTCACTATTAAACCAGCTTGTAGATAGTGCTATCTGTTACAGAAGACAGGTATTACAGAAGAAAGGTATTTCTGAGCCTCTTCTCTAGCAACCACTGCATGTTACTGAAAAATAATGCAGAGAAAGCCAGTTTCCCCTGAAACACAGCTGGGTCAGTCTGAAATTAAGTGCAACTTCTTTTGCAGAGGCAGACCTAGAAAAAGCTCTTGATCACCTCTTGTAATTAAGCAGCAAACTGTGAGCAAGGCAGTTATGTCCTTCGTTAACCAACACAAGTCCTTTCATGTTGCTCTCAAAATCATCAGCAGACTTGAGTCAGAGCCCACCCTCTCACGAACAGAAAAAGAGACAACCAGCAAACATGGGAGAGAAATCTCTAGGGGCTTTGGGGAAAACATACAGAAAAAGCACAGAGCTCAAGGCATTCTTGTACGCGCAACACAGTAAGAAAACAGAGCAAGGGAACAGAAAGTTTGGGTTAAGACCGTAATCTAGCAGCTTTTATAAATTAAGAAAAAAAAAAGAAATGCAACAAAATCAGGCCAACAAAACACAAAGACAGAAATGCAATGGCCAGGCTGAAGACAATGGAGTTAGGAGGCGCGAACGAACAGAATGTAAAGCAAAGGTACAAAAGCCAAGCTAGGAGCAATACTTGCTGGTCACATACAAAACAAAGCAAATAAAAACAGCCAAAAAGCATCCATCCAGGGAGTGTGCGAGGACACAGATTCTGATAAACTGTTTGCTGTAAACTTCAGGATTTAAAAAGCTGAGGGGAAAAAAAATCCATTAATACAACCCATTATATTCATGATTAGAATATTTCTAATCAGAAGAGCCATGCAGGATCCCAATAAGAGAATTTACATCTAGGTTTCATGTTACCCTGAAATTCAATTTTATTCCTTCTTTACTTGGCTTCTCCTACACCAGGTACTTGTATTAATCAGATGGAAAGCATTTATCTACTTCTAATTCTTTATTAAGGTTTTTAATTGTCTAGCCCCAAATCACTTCTGCTGGCCACCTCCCACTGCACAAGCTTAAATCATCCTCTCCAAGTTGCTACCACATAATACTAGCTATCAGAAAACAGGATGGAAAACATGCTTCCTGTCTGGCATTGTTCTTCTAATTTTGGAAATGTGTTCCTGCATTTCAAAGAAGCTAACATTTTACAGAAAATGTGCATTAAACAAAAAACACAGAATGATTTTCATGTCTGCATTATCCTTCTCACTCCAAGCGAGTCATTCAACCAAGCTAACCAGTTAAGTGTTCTGAAAAAAAAAAAAAAAAAAAAACACACACGTAGTTAGAGCAAGATTCCCAGAGCAAGATTATTTTGAGAGCAAACTTGCTCATAAAAATGTATGGCACAGAATTATGGAGATATAATATTTAAAAGAAGCTTAAGCATCAAGTACAGTGTGGCTTAGTACCCTGCACTTGGGTTAATGACTTGGAGACAAGACAAGAAGCCAATGTTAGAGGTAACCCTGTCATTGGTGTAAATGGAATAACTAAGAGGTCAGCTCAGGGGTCCTTGGGGGAGGAAGGGTCAGGTACCAATGGGCAGTCACAGCTGGGCAAGGGCCAGCGTTCTTCTTTTATACAGACAGATGGAAAGCCATAAGATATCCAGCACTCAGAAGAGGAAACTAGTAAGAAAAGTGCTCTGAAATATCACTATTCTTAATTCTAGGTTATCTATCATCTTCTGATTCATGTTTGAGACTGTATCTGAACAGGGAGTTATACTTTCCCCTCATTATTTTTCTTCTCCAGATGCTTCTGGATCAAACCCCTATATGTAAGGGGCAAAAGAATTACACACAATTTAAAAGCCAAACCAGTTAAGGCAAAGAAAAGGCACAATATAAACAAACCAGTATGTCCTCCTGATCTTTCACTTATACCTGACCTACACTTGGCTTTTACCTTCAGCACCAAAGTGCTCTTAGTTTTAGAAACATGGAATTACCAGCAGAAACTGCTGGGCAGTGTTGCCAAGTTGTTATGGCCATTCCCATTCCCCACCTCCATCTGCTCCACAGCAAGGACCATCGTGGTCTCCTCTGTGGCCTAACATATGGTGCAACAGCCATGATTCTGTCTTCAACATCTATGTATATATATATACACACCCCAAAATGTGAGTAGTTTCCCAAGCAAATATAACTTTTTTTGTGTTGTATTACTTTAAAGCTGCTCTTCATTAATATGGAATACTTTTATAAACCTAATTACCTATTCATCTCTTATCTTTTAAATAAAAACACTGCTCACTGTTTCACACCATTTTCACTTCACACCATTTTCACAAGCCCGTAGGAACCCGGAGAAAAAAAAAAACACAGAGGGAGACTTAAAACAATATTTCTATAATCAATATTTCTATAATTTTAAATGTTTCCAGGTCCCCTTGAAAGCTACTTCCAGGCTAGTTACCCAATGCATATTCCAGTGTACAGACTCTTTGAGCCTACTTTAAGTCACAACAGCACATACCTCCTTAATTTCTGTAATAGTAATAATCAGTGAGCACCTTTCAGAACATACTCCCTCATCATTACAGAAAATACTTTGAAGATTTTAAAAAAAGTAATTGCACAAACATATCATAAGATAATAAAATGTAATACAACCTTTGCAGTTGTAAAAATCAGCATAATTTATCATTATATACTTACACTTTCAAAACAATAGTAAAGATTAGGTTTGCTTTCACTTATACACACAACTACACAATCAGTAGTCTATATTTAGTCTAAATTAGATTTCCTTTTGGTTTACCTTCTTTTTACAAAGAGTGAGAATCTTTCAAAGAAAGGAAACCAGACTTCTGCACTTCATATGACAGACCTTCTAATGAACTGATAGATGAGAACACCTTCTCTCCTAGTTGATAAAAAGAGACCTAGGATAGCTAGGCTTTTTTCAAATGTACTGACTTTCAGGAGGAGCAAATATTAGGTAGCCATATGTGTTATTATAGCCAGAAAGTCCAATTATTTCTCAAGAGGCATTAGGGAAAGTGAGTAGGTCATTAGTGACTTAAAAAAATAT